GAATGCCCAATGAGCACATTTCGCTTCTTGGCATAGCGCTTGAAGATGGCACGCATGTCCTCTGCCAGCGCATAGAAGGTATAGGCTGCAGCCACCTGGGGCGCGGAGCTGGCCCCATGGCCGGCCAGATCCGGAGCCACCACCTCATACCCCAGACGCACAAAGAAGTCCAGCTGCTCCTTCCAGATGGCCAGGGAGCCGCCAACACCATGGATGAAAAAGAGCACCACACCCTAGGACATGTCTTCAGTATTACATTATGCGATGGGAATGAGTAAGCACTGTGCAAGCTAAGAGTTCATGAAGAGAGTGGCAAGAACACTCGCAGCACTGGCTGGGCCCGAACGGCCATCGCTGCCTGACGGGTCTGCCAGCTCCACCTCTAGAGAGGCCGGAGGCTCCCCGGAGCCATTCTGCCCAAGCAGGAGGTCAGCTCTTGGTGCCCGGCCCAGGTTCTCCACCAGTAACCTCCCGTTACGGTACACGGTGATTCGGCGCTGGCACCGGACCAAGCCAGACCGGTCCCCCTGGGCTGTATCAGGTAGCGGTGGAGGTGGGGTTGGAGCTGGAGCAGGTCCAGCGTGCTTCACCCGCAGCACGCGGCCAGGCTTGACCTCCACGAAGGTGTAGCCATCGCTGGACTCAACGCTCTCCAGTGGCCCCACTGCATTGGGTGGTGCACCCAGTAGGCAGCAGAAGATCCCATCGGTCACCCCGGTCAGCATGGTGTGTCCTGTGAGTGGGGAGGACAGCTCAGGGGCCCTGGAAGCGGCCTGCACACCATCCACTTCCCACACCTGGAGCAGAAGTCACCCTTGGAGGCTCCATCTAGGCTCCAGTTTATGGAGGATCAGGGCCAGGATGTTCTGACTGGCCCAGCCGGCATGGCTCAGAGGTTGAGCATCAACCTATGAACCAGGAGGTCACGGTTGGATTCCTGGTCATGGCACATGTCGGGGTTGCAGGTTCAATCCCCCGTCGGGGGTGGGCAGGAGGCAGCCAATCAGTGATTCTCTCTCATCATTGATGTTTCTCTATCCTCCCTTCCTCTCTGAAATCAATAAAAATATTTTTTTTTTTTTAAAAAGAAAGAAAGCCCTAGCAGCTAGGTTTGTCTCAGTGGGTAGAGCATAGGCCTGCGGATTGAAGGGTCCTGTCCTGGGTTCGATTCCGGTCAAGGGCACATGCCCAGGTTGCGGGCTTGATCCCCAGTGTGGGGTTGTGCCGGAGGCAGCCAATTGATGGTTCTCTCACATCATTGATGTTTCTATCTCTGTCTCTCTCTCCCTTCTGTGAAATCAATACAAATATATTTTTTTTTTAAAAAAAGAAAGATGTTCTGTCTGGTCAGTGCCTGCTGGTGGTTGGCCATTCTGGTCTATCCTAGAGAGGAAGGACCTGGCTATGGCTGGCCCAAGAGGCGTTTATAGGGAATGTAGTGTAGTCAGGTGGACCTTCCTGGGGGGAGGGGGGCATTATGGCCCAGTCCAGAGGGTCTCCCCCAGCTCAGATTCATAGCAGTTATGGCTTCCTAAGCCCATTCATTCATTTATCCAGTCATTAATCCATTCACACACGCACTTTTTCATTAACTCTCTGTCACTGAGCTAGCATGTTCTGTGGGTCTCTGAAGGCATCTAAAAATGCCCCAATCCCAAGTCTCTATAAACCTGGCTCCTGAAAGGTAAGGCCCCGGGGGACAAGGTTTGGGACGGAGCTCCAGAGCCTTTGTCCATCTCTCTCTCCAAGACCATGGGGCGCTGGCTCTGTTTCACAGAAGGACAAGCTGAGGCTCCAGCACTGGGTTCTGGGGGGCTGACACACAACCCCCAATGGTGGAGATGAAGATGGAGAAGGCAGTGTTCTGCCTGGGGGCTTCCAGGTCTCCATCCTGTTCCCTGGGCCACCTCTCCCGTGTCCATGGCAACCACAGGCAGTTACATAACTCAAGGGGGATATGGGCACATCACACCCCCATTGTCTCTAGGGCCTGGAGATGGGACCAACCCCTCCCCCATTCCCATCCTTGGCGCCGCGGGGATCACGCACGCCGCGGAAGGCCCTGGGTGACCCATACTTGCTGATGGAAGGGGAGCAGGCTGCACCCCCACCTCTGGCGGGTCCCAACCCCAGATTGCAGAGGGGAACACCGATGCGCCACGGCAGCCCCCCTCCCTAATGCCAGGCCCCTACCTCCCGAGTGCCTATCAACACCTTGGCGGGGTCAAGACCACGGGGGCTCCACGACCTCCTAAGCACCCGAGCGCGGACTTTGTGGACACCCCCTCAGAAGTGGAAGCCCCGGAGGCCTCAATGTCCCCCTCCCAGGGCCCCCTCCCCGCTCACCTCATCGAGGGCTCCGGGCCCGGGGCGGGGCGGAGGGGTCCCGGGCGGAGAAGCCAGCGTCTGCCTGCAGGAGCGGTTTACATGTTGGCACGGGGTCGGGCCGGGCGCGTCTACGCGGGACGGCGCGGGTCTGGAATGGTGGTCAAGGAGGGGGCATCCCACCGCCGCTGCTGCTGAGCAAACCGGCCCTTTAAGTCTCTCCCCGGGGGGCGGAGCCCCGCGCCGACCGACGGGCACCTCCGCCAATCGCAGCTTCGGACTGACCTGCCCTAGTTAGACTACCAATCAGAAGCGGCATCTCGGCATGGGGGCGGGCTGCCACTGCCCAGCCCGCTTGCGGGGCTTGCAGAGGTGGGAGGAGGTATTGGGCCTGGCCCAGGGCCGAGGAGGGGTCGCAAGTTGGTGCTTGAGGAGCTCCAGGAGGCGGGACCCGGAGCCCCCTCGCTGCGAATAGGATCCCCTCGGCCAGCCCCTGCCTCCGAACTGCCCGGTCCCCTCCCAACTCAGCCCCAGGTCCTCTCTCTCTGCTGACCTTTCCCTGTAGAGACGTCCAGATCTTTACAATTTCAGGTGGGGAAACTGAGGCACAAGGTCACAAAACTAGTGGAGGCGGGTGGGCAGGGATGCGATTTGGATCCACGCTTGTATGATTCCAAGTCCTGGAAATGTATTCCTTAAACCTTTACACAGAAGTCTTGGCGCTCTGGGTAATTGAGGAGTTGGAGTTCTCCAGATCGGTCAGTTTAACCAGGGACTCTGTGGTCCCAGCTGGAGTCAGAGAGCCCAGGGTCCAAAGCCAACCTCTGCCCTTTGCAGTTATATGACCCCGGGCTGGTTGCTTCCTTGAGACTCCACTTATTTATCTGTGCAATTAATCTCCTCGTGGTTCTCTGTGCAGGTAAAACAGCACGGTAAGCGCTCGATACTTTATGGGCATTATTGTACTGGTGTAGTACTGTAGTGGTTTGCTCAATGCATTGCGGTAAGATGGGCTTCAGAGGACAAGGGGTTAACCATTCCTTGTCCGTCCCCAACTCCTAAAATTTGCTGCCCGAGCTGGATTAGGTCCAGCCACCCACTCCCGCCCACTGAGAGCGCTTCTGGGATAATATTCTTGCAGCAAACACACACTCCCTCCCCAAGCTGGGAGATGCTTGGGTGCCGCAGGGACTCAGCCCCGAGCCTGGCCCTTGAGGGGCCCGGGACTTCTGGAAGAGTGGGGAGATTTGGGCCAGAGAGAGGAGCAGCATTTAGGGAGACAGTATCAGAGAAAGGGTTTTTGGTTTTAGTTTTGTTTTGTTTTGTTTTTAAATAAAGATGAATGAGGGAGTACCAGGCAGGGGAGGGCATGGCTGAAAGTTAGGGTGTGTTCACATGCCTGCCAGAGGAGCTGAATATTTTCCCTGGGACAGTGGGGAATATATATATATAATTTCAGAGAGGAAGGGAGAGGGAGGGAGAGATAGAAACATCAACGATGAGAATCATTGATCGGCTGCCTCCTGCATGCCCCACACTGGGGATGGAGTCTGCAACCCCAGCATGTGCCCTGACCGGGAATCAAACCTTGACCTCCTGGTTCATAGGTCCACGCTCAACCACTGAGCCACAGATCTGAGTATTTGAAAAATCTTTCTAACCCTGGCCTGGTGGCTCCGTTGGTTAGAGTGTTGTCGGGTGCACCAAAAGGTTTCGGGTTTGATCCCTGGTCAGGGCACTTCCAGGAGACAACCCATTGATGTTTCACCTCTCTCTCTCATCATTATCTATACATCTATATATCTCCTCAGGTGAGGATTAAAAACATTTTTTAAAAAGTTCTAGCGCTCCAATGGGGGCACCGCCAAGGACAAGCTAGCCACTTGACTGGAAACTGGATCGCGGAGAGGAGCAGGGATCACCCCTCGGACTCCAGCCAACTCGAACTCAGGCCTCCTGGGCTTACCGCCAAGGGGCGGAGACTTGGCTGCGACCAGAGGAAAGCTGCCAGCCAACTGTGTACCATCTGCCGGGCTCCCGATGGGCGTGGGAGGTTCAACTAGCCACTTCCTGCAGCTGTCACCAGCTGTGCCACCGCCACCCCGGACGCCCTCGGCCAGGGGACGGGAGGAACTACAACTTCCAGCAGATCAAGGGACATAACGCGCAAGCCCAAGAAGTGCCGCTCGCCAGCTCCTACTGGTCCGCACACCGACTACACACACCTGCGGGTGCGGCCGCTCACGCCTTGGGCACGCAGGAAGTAGAACTACAACCTCGGAGGCCCCCGCGGCGATGAGGTTACAGAAACTACATTTCCCAGAAGTCTCCGCTCCGCGGCTGCGGAGCCTGTGGATTTCGGAATAGCTGACGCGGACGGGCCGCGTGATCCGAGGGTAGACATGGCGCTCTTGGGCAGATCCCTGAGTCGCCCGTTGTGTCCCGTCAGTAGGGCTCTCCTGGATGTCAGGTGAGTCCTCCGGGGAATTAGGCCGTGATCGGGGGCTGGGGCCGGCTGGTTACCGAGCACACGACTTGCAGGTGCCTTGCGCAGTTCCTGAGCGCCTTTTGCATTTTTAGGCTCAGTCCCAGCACGGGTCGGGAGCCCAGGCTTAGAGAGGTTGAGCGCCAAGCCAAAGGCACACAGCGTCCCCTCTGACCGTTCTCGCTGTCTCTCTGCCCTCGCAGGTGGCTCCAGCCCCAGACCTTGCTGCGGCTGCCCGACGCCTGGGGGCTCCCCGCCACGCAGCCGAGCCGGGGTAAGGCACGCGGGAACGAGTACCAGCCGAGCAACATCAAACGCAAGCACAAGCACGGCTGGATCAAGCGCTTGAGCACACCGGCCGGCGTCCAGGTCATTCTTCGCCGCATGCTCAAGGGCCGAAAATCGCTGAGCCACTGAGCCCCTCGCTGCCTCTGAGACAGCCCCCTCCCCCATTAAAGCATCTCCCTCGCTTCAGACCGCTCCTGCCGCTGTTTTTGTGCGGAGGTTGGATGACTCAGACATGAGTGCTCCTCCGATTGTGGGGTTGGCCCAGGGCAGAAGTCTGCGGTTGGGCCGGAAAGGGGAATAGGAAGTCAGAATCCAACCTATGGCAACAGTCCACGGAAGAGTACGTGAACCCCGTCGTGTGCCCACCCATTTCTGACTACCTGCAGTCCATCCTGCTCCCTCCTGTGTGTGTGTGTTTAAAGCAAATCTCAGGCATGGTGTTATTTCTTATGGAAATATTTAAGAATGCATTTCTCCAAGATAAGGACCCTTTAAAACATAATCCCAAAATTTCTTATACTTAGAAAAAGTCAGTAATTCCTCAATGTCATTAAATGTCTAAATTGTCACTTGTCTCACATATGTCATGACTTTCACAGGTCTGAGAGCGCTTGTGGGGAAGAGGGAAGGGTTTGAATCCTCCACCTGCCCCTTGGGAACGTGCCACATGAACCTCAGCAAGACCTTAGCCCTCTGAGGCTCATTTGGCTCCTATAAAAGAAGGTATTTTTTTGCTGTGTTCTCAGAGTAACACTTAGTAGCTTCCACTCAGTAACTTACTCTGTCTTTCCTATGTTTTGGGTCCTGTCTTCACCAGGCTGTCACTTGAGGGGTGGGTGGTTGGGGCTTGATTTGTACCCAGCCAGTCTGGACGCAGCAAAGTCAGGGCTATGGGAGCCCAGAGAAGGCGCCTGACTTGGCTTTGGGAAAAATGCAGTCGGGTCCTAACCGGTCTGGCTCAGTGGATGGAGCATTGGCCTGCGGACTGAGGGGTCCCAGGTTCGATTCCGATCAAGGGCATGTACCTTGGTTTCCGGCACATCCACAGTAGGGGGCGTGCAGGAGGCAGCTGAAAGATGTTTCTGACTATCCCTCTCCCTTCTCTGTAAAAAAAAAATCAATAAAATATATTAGAAAAAGAAAAATGCAGTCGGACAAATACCTGGCGCAGGTAGCAGGGTCTAGAAAGGACCCAAAGGGAGAGGGGAGTGGACAGGGTCAGGATAAAGGGAGGCTGGAGGGGCTCAAAATTTGGAGCCCAGGAGGTGGGACTGGATCCTTGGGCTGGGGAGCCATGGGAAGTGTTTGAACGGAGTCTGATTTGTGAGTTCAAAGACTTTCAAAGCACTAGTGCGGGAGCTGTTTAGATATGCCGAGACCCCGGGGAGGCTGGGGGTGTTATGGTGGTCCCCCGTCTTCCGGGGCTGCTGTGGGAACCCGATAAGAACCGTATGAAAAAGCGTAGTAAACCAGAAAGAGGAAACGCTGGCTGAACCTCCTGGAGTTGCGGACTGCAAATCCCAAGAGGCTTCGGGGGCGCGGCCCCCGCCCACTTCCGGATTTTATTGCCCTATCGCTTCCCAGTCCCGGGCGGGGTTTTGCTCCTTCAACCGAACTTGACCACGAAGAGAGGAGTGGCGACCAATGCGTCCGTGACTTCTCCGTATCTGGCCAATGTGAACGCGCGGAGACCGTATATCCTGGGGCGGGGCTAGAGGACGGACCAATGACGGGAGGGCGACGCCGCCATCAGGGCAGGCTGTAGCGTGGCTGGAAGTTACTGTGCGGCGGCGGCTAAGAAGGCGGCTGTGGTGGCGGCGGTGGCGGCTGAGGCAGTAGCTGAGGCGGCG